CCATGCCACCTGTATTAGGATGTGTTACAGTTATAGATGCCTGTATAAGTGGCTTTAGAAATTGCATTAGTCAGTCAGTTAACAAGTATTTTCTAGGCATCAGAATATCTAATTTTAACTAAGCTAACCCTAATAAAATGGACAAATGGCTAAAAATATACACACAGAGGCTGAAGCTGTGTGTGATAATATTGTAAGCACAAGATAACAAGAAAATGGCAGAGTTGAAACTACTAGTGTCTGCTTAAGCATCTCATCTCCATGGCAATAGAAGCATTCTATATTTAATGGAAACTGCACTATAGATTTTTTTTCTTTGAAGTTCTTGGTACTGCCACATGCCACTGGGAAGTAAGCCATCTCTGTGTCATCACTGTCAAGTAGTCTTCTATCCTACCCTTCTTTTTGTGCTTCCTATTCCTTTTTCTCTGTCTATTTTTCTGTCTCTGTCTCCCTCTACCCCATTCAACTCCAGTTCCACATACATCCCTGTCTTTCTATCTACCTTCCAGCTTGTCCATTATAAGAAATTAAATGTCTATCCCAGCTCCTTGTATCAGGTTTCTTAAGATTTTCTCCTAATTTGTGATCTGTTATCTAGGTATGAGAACAAATCCTTATTTAATAATACCCAGAGCCTGAGCAAAGCTACCTGGAAGACCTTAAAGAGTGCGGCTGCCTTACATCTTTGGGCTTCTAGTGTTAATGGGTAGAATATTTCTGGAGAAAAGAGTCAGCGACTATTTAGTCCCCTTAATGTACACATTAAGCAAAAATGAATTCACCGTGTCAGAGACAGTAGGGAATCAGAGTGAGCTTTGGATGATAATGGAATTTAGTTTATCTAGACAGTTCCAAATGGACATTATAACTAACATCTTCAGTAATCTGTGTGTGTTTGCCTCTGTATTGTTTTGAGTAAGGTGAGCTTCTTAAAATGGTTCTCTACCCCCAGTGGAGTTAAGTTAAATGGAGGTATATGTTAATAGCGTCTAACCAATGAATATTTTTTTCTAAAAATGAGTTTTCTGTGGCAAGTTTGAATCTCAGACACTGTAATTTAGCTGTTTGAGACTTCTCATTTCAACCAGTGCCCAAGAGTACCATATTAACAAGCCAAAGGTGAAAGATTTTGAATTTCTCTGAACAGAGACACTGCTGTTAATTTCCAAATCACATCCTGTTATTATTCCTGAGGGCACTATACTGTAATTGCCAGATAGGCCCCATAATCTTGTTTCAGTGGCTAAACCAGTGTGTTTTGTTGGGCTGACAAATGCTATTGCTAAGGAAAACAGGCCTCTGACAGGTAACATTGCTTGTCTCGATCTTGAAGATGGAGGAAGGAGACAGAATGTGGCATACGGGGAAAGAAGATGAAGAGCAAGTTATAGCCATTTTGAATTAGGAAGAAAAACAACTTCATGCACTCATGATTTTCCAGATTTGTGGAAGTTCTAAACCAGACATAGAAGCAGAATCTCCAAAGTTTTGAAGTTTTCCAGAACAGAAAGTTCTCCATACATTTCCCATAATCTGAGCATGTTCTTTTGACTCCTGAGATGGTCTTGTAATTTAGTAGTGTTTGGTTTAGGGGCAGCTAGGTGGCGCAGTGGATAGAGCACTGGCCCTGAAGTCAGGAGGACCTGAGTTCAAATGTGACCTCAGACTTGACACTTACTAGCTATGTGACCCTGGGCAAGTCACTTAACCCCAATTGCCTAAAAACCAAACCAAAACACACACACACACACACACACACAAAAGTAGCGTTTGGTTTTAAATAAAGTCCATTTGATTCACAGATGTCACTAATTATATTGAAATCCAGTTATCAACATATTTAAAAAACAAGTTCACAGAATCAAAGTTGAGAACTCACACGCTAAATCAATTCATCTATCGAAAAGTAACTTGGTAACCAATTATTGTCAGGCATCATAATGATAAGTTCAATTGAACAGTTACCTGCTCTTAAGAAAGGGGTACTCTAAGATGCTTATCTATTCTCTAGGTGAGTATACGGAACAAGAAAGGAGGTAAAGATGCTCTCACAGGTATGATCACAATTTTATGGAATGGGATTCTTAACAAAAATATGTCAATGGAAAGATATACTTCTTTCCAAAAAAATCATACTTGATAAAGCGGTTGACAGAGTACCATTGAAGTTCATGAATATATAAACTAGTATAGAAATGTACCAATGTGAAAAAGAATAGAAAACATTTGGATGAGATGGGAGACATTGGAAATTTTTTTTTCAAATCTGGAAAGATCCAAATGAGTATTCATCATAACTAAAACTTTAATAGTTCATGTATTTCTGCCCTCTTGCACTGAATGAAACTCTAGAATGTAGTTAGAGTAAAGGATCATATATAAAATTCTCCATTTGGCACTTAAATCCTTTCTTACCTTGGCCCTCTCCACTCCCTTCAGTGTACTATCCTTTTTTTAATTTTAATTTTTTTTTTTTACCAATTACATGTGAAAACAATTTTAACTTTTTTTTTTTTACAATTTTGAGTTCAAAATTGTCTCTCACCCTTCCTCACCTCCCCCATTGCTGAGAAAGCAAGCAGTCTAGTAAAAGTTATACATGTTCAGTCATGCAAGACATATTTCCATATTAGTCATGTTGTGAAAGAAACTGTATATTATTCTTCTTGCCATTCCTTGCACATAACACCATGTTCCAACTCTGGACCTCTTCAATGTGTCAGTCATACGTAGAAAGCTTTCCTTCCTTATCTCTACCTCCTGGCTTCCTTCAATATTCAGCATAAACCCCACCTTCTATAGGAGGCCTTCCCTGGGATCTCCTCCCTTGTACCCTGTCTTCCCACAAATAATGCCTTTCCTCTGTTATTCTTTTCTATTTACTGTTTATAGTGTGTGTGTGTGTGTGGTGTGTGTGTGTGTGTGTTTGTACACTATATATGATATATGATAATACATACATAGTATGGAAGGAAATATACATGTATCACAGGTATAATTTTTTGTATATTATACACCCTTCTGCATTAAAATGTAAGCTCCTTGAGGACAAGGCCTTTCCTTATATGCCTAGTGCTTAGAACAGTGCTTGCCACATAGTAAGTGCTTAAATGTTTCTTAATGGACTGATTAGTTTTTTCTTTGTAGTGAGCTTTGGTTAGTTAGATCTATATATTTATAGCAGCTAAACATGGAATAAAAGAATGTTTTCTTTTTTAAATGTTGCTACAGTAACACTAAACCTGGTTTTTTCATACTCAGAAACCTTTTCCAAACTGAACTGTATGACATCATCTACTTTTTCCCAAGGACACCCTTAGAAATCCACTATCTATGGCCATGAAAATTATACACCACATTTATTATTCAATACCCTCATTACTTGTCAGGTTTTAGAATGTTTTGTCTCATTCTTACAGGCGCAAGCTTACAGTGGCTCTTTTGAATGAAGTGGAAAGGGATGGAAGACAATAATTTATTTAATAAAACTTGTCACATTTTATTTTTTAAAATGTGTTAAACTTGTGAAACACCATGGGATGTTGTGTAGTGATCAACAAGAGAATAGCCCCCAGCTAAGAAATTACATCCTATTAGGTTTGTAAGGAATAGTGAATTCCACTTCCATTGGTCTCTTGATTAAGTTCCATTTTCATAAGGTTATTTTCCCCACACATTTACCAGTGACAAACAAAAAACACTCATAAGTAAGTCAAACATTGTCTTAACATTTTCCTGCATACTCTTTTTAGTAGAGCAGGAATGTGTGGTGCCTGATTTATAGTGAGTACTTTCAGATTAGAATCAAATTTGATCCATAGATTGTTGAAGTAGAAACTGCTGTTCTGTCACAAGAAATGGGCATCTCTTTCCTTCTTGGTTTCTGTGCTTGTCAATTTCTTCTTAATAAAATAAGGGTTAAGGTAATAATAGAACCTGAAATTTAGCCTCTTTTTTTCTTTGTACAACTATCGGATCAAGTCTATGTTATTTCATTTCTCCATGAATTCTACACGGAAATACTATGAATCAATTCATTTAAACAGACATGTACTAGACATACAGAAAGTTATGTATTTACAGTAAGACTTCTTGAATTCATCTGCTAGACATTTGGGAAATATTAGAAAGGTTAACACTTGCTAAGATTAAAAATTGTTTTTTACATGTTATGGGGGAAAATAAAATATTTAAAAGTTATACTTGCTAAGACTAAATCAAGGAGCTAACTTTGAAAATAACACAATGGATGCATTGAGACTAACAGTATTATTTTTCTCTTTGCATAGAATACTTGATGAGACTGAATCCTCTGTTTTGTGTTTTGTTGTGTTTTTACATAAACACCTCAGAACTTATTTACTTGATTAAGCATCATCCCTAATATTAAAGCCGTTATTTTGGGAGATTATATATTTATTCCCATAATGTTGCTATTGTTGGGTCCTTTCTTGATATGTTGACGTCATTTATTGGCAAGTTTTTCTCTCTGTCTCTGTCTCTCTCTGTCTCTGTCTCTGTCTCGCTCTCTCTCTCTCTCTCTCTCTCTCTCTGTCTTTCTCTCTTCCTCCTCCCCCCCCCACCCCCCGCCAATTTTGAGGATGAGTTTGATTTTTGGAAAAAGCCAAATGTCACTCAGAGAGAAATCTGTCGAATAAGGTGGGTAACTAAGATAGCAAATGTCATTTCTGTTCTAACATGAGATGTCAACAATAACAAAACAGATTTCCTTGTGTGGCGCATGAACTTGTGCAAGGGGCAGTTCCCAAAAAATTCCAAACATGTTCTAACCAAAGACAGTATCAATGGAATTGATGTATTATTCCTAAAGAGCCTGTGAGAAAGGCAGTATTCCTTTATATGTGTAAGTTCAAAAACAGTCACAACAAAACCAATCTCATAACATTATAGTCACACCTCAAACATGTGCATGCTGCGATGGTTTCCTGTACAAGTTACTGATTAACAACTAAATGTACCAATTTGTCTCCACACAGATCATTGCTTATCAGCCGTATGGAAAATCTGTGGACTGGTGGGCCTATGGTGTCCTGTTATATGAAATGTTAGCTGGACAGGTAATGATTCATTATGTCATGATATTGATTTTCGGTAGTGTGATAGTGCTAAAAAAATTGATTTCTGTACCATGGATACTATGTAGCTACTTTGGATTGGGATTGCTAAGAATCTAACTTAGTTTCTTTTTAAAAGCAGAAATTCTCTTTACTAAAGATGAAATAAAGGTATCATGGAGTGGTGCAGGGGTTCTTCACCCTTTTTTTTGTGATGAACCCTTGGGCAGTCTGGTGAAGCTTATGGATCCCTTCTCAGAATAATTTTTTGTATTTATTTAGTATTTTATTTTTCCCCACTTGCATGTAAAAACAATTTTTAACATTTGTTTTTTAAAACTTTGAGTTCCAAATTCTCCCCCTTTCTGCCTTCCCACCCTCCCCACATTGAGAAGGCAAGCAATTAGATGTAGGTTATATATATGTAGTCATGCAAAACATATCCATAACAGTCATGTTGTGAAAGAAAACATAGACCAAAAAAACTCAAGAAAAACAAAATTTAAAAAAAAAAAGATATGCTTCAATCTGTATTCAGACACTATTAGTTATTTCTTTGGGAATGATTAGCATTTTTCATCATAAGTTCTTTAGAGTTGTCTTGTATTGTTCTATTACTGAAAATAGCTAAGTCATTCATAGCTGGTCCTCTTACAGTATTGCTGTTACTTTGTACACAGTACATTTCACTTTGCATCAGCCCATGCAAGGCTTTCCAAATTTTTCTGAGAGTATCCTGCTCATCATTTCTTATAGCATAATAGTATTCCATCATAATCATGTACCACAGCTTGTTCAGCCATTCCTCAATTGATGGGTATCCCTTCAATTTCTAATTCTTTACCCCCAGAAAAGAGGTGCTATAAATATTTTTGTACATACAGGTCCTTTTCCTTTTTGTTTTTTTTCTCTTTTGGGATATAGACCTAGTTGTGGTATTGCTAGGTCCAAGGGTAAACCTGGTTTTATATTCCTCTGGGTATAGTTCCAAATTGCTCTGCAGAATGGTTGAATCCATTCACAACTCCACCAACAGTGCATTAATGTCTCATTTTTCCCACATCCCCTCCAACATTTGTCATTTATCTTTTCTGTCCTATTAGATAATCTATTATCTATTATCCTATTAGATAATAGGTATGAGGCAATACCTCAAAATTGTTTTAATTTGCATTTCACCAATCAGTAGTGTGTTAGAATATTTTCTCATATGGTTATAGACAGCTTTAATTACTTATCTGAAAACTGACTATGTCTTTTGATCATTTATCATTTTGGGAATGGCACTTATTTTTATAAATTTGACTCAGTTCTCTATACGTTTGAAAAATGAGACCTTTATCAGACAAACTTGCTTCAATAATTTTTTTCACAGTTAGTATTGCTAATGGTACTTCCCTCCATTCTATTCCCTCCACCCCCATTTATTCTATTCTTTCTCTCCTTCCACCCTTTCCCTCCTCAAAAGTGTTTTGCTTCTGACTACCTCCTCCCCCAATTTGCCCTCCTGTCTATCATACCCTATCGTCTTCCATTATCCCTTTTCCTTCCTACTTTCCTATAGGGTAAGATATATTTCTATACCCAATTGTGTGTGTATATTATTCCTTTTGTGAGCCAATTCTGATGAGAGTAAGGTTCACTCACTTCCCTTCACCTTCCCTTCTTCCCCTCTACTGTAAAAGCTTTATCTTGCCTCTTTTATGTGAGATAATTTACCCCATTCTCTCTTCCTTTCTCCTCCCAGTACATTTCTCCCTCATCCCTTAATTTTATTTTTTAGATATCATCCATTGATATTGAACTCACACCTGTGCCATCTGACTATTATATACTCCTTCTAACTACCTAATAATGAGAAAGATCTTATGAGTTAGAATATCATCTTCCCATGTAAGAATGTAAACAGTTTAACTTTATTAAGTCCCTTATGATTTCTCTTTCCTGTTTACCTTGTTATGGTTCTCTTGAGTCTTGTATTTGAAAGTCAGATTTTCTATTTAGCTCTGGTTCTTGTCATCCACTGTTTGAAAGTCCTCTATCTCATGGAATGTCAGTTTTTTTCCCTGAAGGATTATACTCAGTTTTTTGCTGAGTAGATGATTCTTGGTTGTAATCATAGCTCCTTTGACCTCTGGAAGGACTATCATATTCCAAGCCCTTTGATCCTTCAGAAGCTGCTAAATCTTGTGTTATCCTGATTGTGGCTCCACAGTACTTATTTCTTTCTGGCTGTTTGCAATATTTTCTCATTGACCTGGGAAATCTAGAGTTTGGCTATAATATTCCTGGCAATTTTCATTTTGAGATCTCTTTCAAGAGGTAATCAGTGAATTCTTACTCTTTCTATTTTACCCTCTGGTTCCAGAATATCAGGACAGTTTTCCTTGATAATTTGTTCAAAGATGATGTCTAGGCTCTTTTTTTGATCATGGCTTTCAGGTAGTCCAATAATTTTTAAATTATCTCTCCTAGATCTATTGTCCAGGTCAGTTGTTTTTCCAATGAGATATTTCACATGGTCTTCTATTTTTTCATTCTTTGGTTTTGTTTTATTGTTTCTTGATTTCTCATAAAGTCATTAGCTTCCACTTGCTTCATTCTAATTTTCAAAGAATTATTTTCTTCATTGAGCTTTTCAAACTCCTTTTCCATTTGGCCATTTCTGCTTTTTAAGGCATGCTTCTCCTCATTGGCTTTTTGGACATGTTTTGCCATTTGGCTTAGTCTACTTTCCAAGGTGTTATTTTCTTCAGTATTTTTTTGTGTCTCCTTTACCAAACTGTTGATTCTTTTCTTTCTTTTGTTTTCATTTTTATCTTTTTTTATTTAAATATTTATTTTTAGTTTTCAGCATTCACTTCCACAAGATTTTGAGTATAACCTGTATTGAGTTGCTTGCCTTCTCAATGAGGGCTGGTAGAAGGGAAGAAGGGAGAATATTTGGAACCCAAAGTTTTAAAAACAAATGTTAAAAAATGTTTTTATAAGCAACAGTGAAATAAGATATACAGTATTTTGGGGGGCTCCTTTAGCAAGCTGTTGACTTGCTTTTCATGGTTTTCTTGCATCACTCTTATTTCTCTTACCAGTTTTTCCTCTACTTCTCTTACTTGCTTCTCAAAATCCTTTTTGAGCTCTTCCATGGCCTTTGACTGATTCATAGTTTTCTTGGAGGCCTTGGATGTAGGAGCTTTGACTTTGTTGTCTTCTTCTGGTTGTATGTTTTGATCTTCTTTGTCACCAAAGAAAGATTCTATAGTCTGACTTTTTTGTGCATTTTGCTCATGTTCCCAGCCAATTACTTGAGTTTTAAACTCTTTGTTAAGGTAGGGGTTTGCTGCCAGGGTGGAGAATGTACTGTCTCAAGCTTCGGGGGTTTTGTGCTGCTGTTTTCAGAGATATTTCTAGGGACCTGTAAATTTTCTGTTCTTCCATGGTGGAAAGATCGAGGGCGAGGTGTTTACTCCTTTTCTGGCCTGTGCTCTGGTCTATGAGTGAGCACAAGCACTCTTTTCTGCCTTGGAACTGTGAGGAGGATTCTCTCTATACCACCACTACAAGCTCCAGCACACCAGCACTCCTGCTAGCCCCAGGACCGCCACCCAGAACTGTGACCCAGATCCAAGCCTGGGCAAAGCAAGACAATTCTGCCACAGCACCAGCCAAGAGATCTCTGCAATCCTCCGATTAGTTGCTTGATCCTCCCCTATGTCTGTGGGCTGAGAGCTCCAGAAGTAGCCACCATCCCAGAGCTGCGCCAGGACCAGTGCTGGACCACACTCCTCTCCCACCATGGTCTGACAGACCTTTCCTACTGACCTTCTAAGCTGTCTTTGGCATTTGTGGGTTGAGAAGTCTGGAAACTGCCACAGCTGCCCATGATTCAGTCTGCTGAGGTCTACTTCAGGATCGCTGAGGCCCAGGTTTTGCTAGCACAGCCCACACTGAACTGTGCTCCTCTCCCTGCCTAGTGCAAGAGACCTTTCCAATCAACCATCCAGGTTGTCTTGGGCTGGAAATTTGTTTCCCTCTGTCTTTTTGTGGGTTCTGCTGCTCTAGAATTTGTTTAGAGCCATTTTTACAGGTATTCATAAGGGTTTGAAGGAGAGCTCAAGCAAATCACTGCTTTTACTCTGCCATCTTCTGTTGATTCTTTTCTCATGATTTTCTTGCATCACTCTCATTTTTCTTCCCAATTTTTCCTCTACCTCTCTTACTTGATTTTCAAAATCATTTTTGAGCTCTTCCATGGCCTGAAACCAATTCGTATTTTCCCTGTAGACTTGTTGTCTTCTTCTGAGTGTGTGTTTTAATCTTTCTTGTCACCATAATAACCTTCTGTAGTCAGAGTTTGGGTTTTTTTTTCCCATTGTTTTCTCATTTTCCCAGCCTGTTATTTGACTTTTAACTGTTAAAGTAGAGCTCTACTTCTAGGATGGAGGGCACACTGTCCCAAGCTCCAGGGGTTTTGTTCAGCTGTTTTCAGAAGTACTTCTAGGGATCTGGAAGTTTTCAGTTCTTCCAAGGTGGTATGGTCTAAGGAGAAATGTTTACTCCTCTCCTGGCCTATGCTCTGGTCTGTGAGTGACCACAAGACTCTTTTCTGCCCTGGAACTAAGAGGCGATTGCCCCCTCCATTGCTGCCACAAATTCTGCTATGCTAGTGCTCCTCCTCACCCTGGGACTGCCATCCAGGACCGGGACCAAGATCTAAGTATGGGCAAAGCAACAGAATCCTGCCTCAGTTCAGAACAATGTTTTTTAAATAAATAATATAAAATACTTAGGGTTACAAAGGAAATAGATTATATCAAAATACAGTTGTTAAATTACATTTATATAATCTAGACAGCCAGCCCTGGAGTGAGAGATTGTGTTGATTCTGGGCAATTCATGTGACCTGTCTCGTTTCTGTTTCCTCATTTGTAAAAAGGGGATAATAATAGCACCTACCTCCCAGAGTTGTTGTGAGGCTCAAACAAGATATTAAAGTGCTATAT